AATTTATTGGACACTATAATGCATTTTGAAGTGATTTTCTTATGAACCATTATCTTTAAAGATGTTATACTGATTTTAATATTTATTTATTAAAGCAATATTTTCTATGTCCAAGATAAACTAGTTTTTTTTTTTTTTTGGTTAAAGATTTTAGATCTTATTTTGGAGAGATTATATTTTGAAAGAAAGATCAAAAGTGGCAAATATAATTTCTTATTTTTAACTTATGTTACTACCTAGTTGAAAAAAAGTTAAAACGATTTCTATCTCACTGCACTTATGTGAATAGAAGACGGACATAAATACACTCGGATACGTTCTGTCGTGACTCCACCTAATTAAGGACGCGTTTGATATGTGTTTTATTTTTTTTATATATTTTTTAATCGAAACGAAATAAGTGTTTTATTGTATGATATTTTGAATAGTAATTAAAACATCTTTGATAATATTTGTTTGTTACAAAAAGTTTGGAAGCAAAAACATAAAAATATATAATCGGTAAAAAGTGTCAAAAGTTTAAAAAATATAAAGCATAATGGTCAATTTAAAAATGTCATTTAAGATTGTTTTTTTTTAAAAGATATTACTGTTTACCGTTGCAAAAATATGAAAATATATAAAAATGTCAAATTAGTGTTTTAATTTTTAGCCATAAAAAAAAAATTAAAAAAAAAAGAAAAAGAGAAAGAGAAAGAGAGCTGTGTACTTAAACAATCTCCATGGATACTAGTGAGAGGAAATAGGTTAAGAGAACAAGCAAAAAAGCAATGAGTAAACCGAGAAAAGAACCTAATACGAAAATACAATGGGTTTGGGTCAACACTCATATATTGCTTGCCTAGCACGAAGGAATAAGTGATGCGTTGCATCTTTCAACTCACGTGACAACGAGATTGCTCAGAAAAAAAAAAAAAAATAGTATCAGATTACGTGACACTACAGATTCGTACATACAGCTCCTAAAATTAGCCGTTTTTCAGCGCTCTCCGCTGCCAAAACTTGGTTCAGCTTTATGCAGAATGTTAGAGAGAAATTTTTTTAGAGAGAGAAAGTTTTTTTTTTTTTTAATGAAATAAATGACCTTATTTATTTTTTTGAAATGTCTACGTGGAAACCTTTCAGAAAAATGTTGAAATTAATATCCCTTTAAAATCATGTGGGGACTAAAAAAAAGACTTTATGTAGAAAAAAAAACTCAAAAATAAATCAAAAATAAATTATTCTTTGTGATACTAATAATAAATAAATAAGGTCATGCGTAATATTATTCAATAATTATTTTACTTTTTTTCCCAAATTTGAACTTGGTGTCAAATGGTAATGTACTAACTTTGTTCTTCTGTAATTGTATGAGACTTGATATATATATATATATATATATATATATATATATATATAAAGGCCAGACAAAAGCTGACGGATTCCTACACGCTGGCAAAAGCTACTGGAGGTAAAGACAAATTTGACCTTCACAATAACCAAAATAATGCTTATGTGGACTGAGGAGTGGCCTGATACGAGGGGCCAGCTGAGCAGGTTGTACATTTTTCTTCATTTGGGTAGGGGGGATTACTTGTATTAGGCACACAAGATAGAGGGGTATTTGAGTCAATTGAAAAGAACCTTTTACACAAAAGGAATGTCAGCTGTCTAAGTATTATTGGTTCGAGGTATTTATATGCATGCAAATGGTAGTTTCACTTTCCAGAGAAAACTGGCACATAAAATAAGTCAAAAACAATACTAGCAAAATGTAGTCAAATCTTGTTTCTCTGTGTTACTTGGTTCAGCCAGCCAAAGAAAGAAAATTTCACCAATTTGATGCAAAAGACATGCACTCCACCAAGTCATGCAGACATTTCCACAAAAGCTAGCAATAATTTTATTTATTTATTTATTTTTTTATCCATCCTTTTTAAGTTGCTCTAAGTCTTATATATATATATATATATTTTAAAATTCCACTCATGAAAAGGGATGAAATACTTTGATCTTCATGACATATATTCTTCCTAATTACACATATGTGTATTTTGTGTCCTTATTTCTCACAAAAATACCATTAAAGCTAGTCCTACCCGAAATATATAAAAAGTAATAATAATAATAATACAAAATAAGTGAACCAATAAATTAACAACCTGATAATTTTGTAACATGTTTGAAGCTAATAATGGTGGCAGTGTCTGCTAATTATTTAATCAAACTTGGAAAAAGGAAAAATGTTTATGAAACTAGTAGTAAAAAGACATTTTATTTCTATTGTTTCTAGACATGTCAATAGGGATATACAGTTAGCTTAAAAAGGAAAAGGGGAATCACACTATGTATGTTTGTGGGAAGAAGAAGATCACCAACAAAACTAAAATGGTGGGAAGAAGAAGACCTGATACGAGGGGCCAGCTGAGCAGTTGTACATTTTTTTCATCATTTGGTTAGGGGGATTACTTGTATTAGGCACACAAGATAGAGGGGTATTTATTTTTCGAAAAAAATATATAGGGGTATTTGAGTCAATTTAGAAGAACCTTTTACACTAAAGGAATGTGAGCTGTCTAAGTATTATTGGTCCCAGGTATATACATGCATGCAAATGTTAGTGTCACTTTCCCAAGAAAACTTGCACAGAAAATTAGTTTCCACTCATGAAAAGGGACGAAATACTTTGATCTTCAAGACATATATTCTTCCTAATTACACATATATGTATTTTGTTTCCTTCTCACAAAAATACCATTAAAGCTTTTGTACGTAAGCATCTTGTCCATTTAAAATTATTACATTACCTATTTAAATCTATTGTACTGTCAATTAAGACAAGACCAAAATTGCAGAGAAATGAAATAACATAGGTATAAAGTCTAGAGAGTTTGAGAGTTGACACAACATTTTTCTTTTTTTTTTTTTTTTTTTTTTTTTTTTTTTGAATAGACAATATAGTAGGTTCACCTGATGGATGGCTATTTTTGACATTTCGACGGCCTTCTTCTACACTTAAGGTATAGAGTCATGTCAATTATTCGTCCAAGGCAGTCAATATTGATGCAAATAGTAATGCTATACTAGCAAGAAAACTGAAATAGTGGGAAGAAGTATTTAAGATGGAATATATTGATATTTATTATTATTCTTTTTTTGACATGAAATATGTTGATGAACAAGTCAAAAAAAGAGATTGGTTTTTCAATATTTCTAATTATAATAAAAAAGAAAAGGTAAATTACATATTAATCATGATCCTAGAGCTATAAGGCTTTTTTTTTTTTTTTTTTTCAAAAAGTTATACCAACTTTCTTGTCACACATTATATGTTTTCATAACTTACATTAATCTTTCCATTTCTTCTCATTGTTGATCAATGCTGATTGTGGTAGATCTATTATAAACAATGTAGGCCCATGGTTAAAAATATTTTATATCATTCCAATATGCATTATTTTTCTTCTTATATCAATCAATTGATATGCACTAATTTTATTAGCTTTGTAACCATTAGGAGAAAATAAAAAAAGGAACAAAATCCTAAATTATAATATTTATACATATAATTTTTTTTTATAAATAACCATTTTCAATTGTGTCAAAGGTTAAAAAAATAATTTGGCAAAATGATTAGGACACACACTCCTACACACACTTTTGTCTTATTCGAAATAAATTCCATTTGAATGGTTCATTTTCTAAAACCCGTCCTCCTCCTTTTTTAACACACACTCCCTACACACACAATCCAAATATAAACCCTTAGAGTCGACCCTTAGATCCAGTGCTCTGGTTGATGATACCTAGAGAGCTGTGTGAGCTCGAGAGATCGATCTAGAGAGAAGAAGGTCGTCGATTCCAAAGGTGAGAGAATATCTACATCGTTTTTAGTTTTTTTTTTTTTTAATTTTCTTTCTATTTTTGCTCTTTAAATTGCGTTTATCTACTTTTTTTTTTTTTTTTTTTTTTTTTCTTCATTAGGAAACTTGCTTTTTTCTTCTTTACTTTCTATTTTCAAAGTCTCAACATGATTGCTGCTGCTTCTTTTTTTGGTTTTCACTTTCTATTTTTCACCTTAAATGTATATATATATTTCATCTACTGTTTTAGTCCGATTTTGGAACATTTTTTTTTTTTTTTTTGTTAAAAATTTTGGAACAATTTAATCCTTCGTTTTTTCATTCTTTTTTTCTTTTTCTTTTTTTTTTTTTCTTTTTATTAATTTTGAAACTTCAAAATACATCTGTTTCTTGATTTATAGTTTGATGGATCTCTGTGTTTTGTTAACTTGCTTTTCCGTTCACATGTTCATATATTGTATATATAAAAGATATAAAACCCTAGTTAATAAGTTGGTTTCACGTTAATTTCTTACAAAATAAATGTGTGAGGTTTTTTAGGTTTTGATATTGATATGAATTTGGGTCAAACTGAGTACGGAGGGAGTTTATAAACAAGCAGATACAATAAAAGCAGCTGTGTGGGTGTGTGTGAGCTATTATAGTGAAGGCAGTAATGTTTTCATTATAATTTTTGTTTTAACGCCAAATTAAACCTATTTAACATATTAGAAGTATATGTTACGATTTCTGCATATCTGCATTTGACGAAGCTACAAGAGCTTATGATGAAGCAGCGAAGACCAGAACCAACTTAATTTGTCACTCATGTTTCTGCCAATTCTCCTATCCTCTCTCCTAGAAAATCAAAAACCTTAACTATTAAAAGAAAGGCCTGTATATTGAAACTGTTTTAGTTACAATTAGTAGTAGTGTATCAGGGAAAGTAATTTGCTGCATTGAGTATCTCTTTAGCATGTATTCAAGTGAACTGTGAGAGTGACTTGGTATTTGGTGGAAAGACCGGCCACTGAACTTTGAGTCACTGTGCTTTGTGTGTGTGACATATAACAACTTGTGAGAAATTAATACAAGGTATGTAGGTTATTAATGGTTGATATTCTATTCCAACAGGGGAGAAGTTTGAAGAATTTATCGAGGGTATATAACTAACCAATGGCTGCACACAATGAAGTAAGTAATTTCCTCTCTTTAAACTTTTAAAGAGTCCTTTGTGATGGGGTCGCCTGCTTGCTTTTTTCTGTTGACTTGTTGCTTAGTCCTTATATTTTTTGTATTTTCTATTTGATGCATTTTCATGTCGGTAGTTTTTTTTTTTTTTGAAAGTTAAAGTTTAATATAAGTGTACAAAAAGCCCAAAGTAGTTAGCCCATTGCTTACTTCAGAAACAAACAGGCCCAATGGGAAAATAAAGAGCATTATAGCTCAAAACAACCCAACAACAGTTGTGTATGTTCAAATGCATTAACATAGCAATCCGGTGCTCATGGAGGATGATTCCAACAATGCTATGCATAGCTAACTTCTGATGTCTGGTGACTTCTTTGGGGGACGAATCACAGACTCAGGCAGCTCCCATTCATGTCTGTAGTTTGTTTTGTGATAGTCCTTGTATATGTCTGCTGATTTTTGTTTGGAGTTTAAATGCTCCATCTGTTGCTTTGGACTTTGGGGTTTGGGCTCCCTTAGTTCTGTACCTTTCTTTTACAATCTCTATAAATTTTATTAGGAGTAAAAGGATTAGTTAAATTGGCTAGTAGAAGACAGCATCATCAAGCACAACTTCAAGGAATTTTTTTTTTTTTTTGATGTATGTGAGCCAATGTGTTTGTTGTTATTATAGGAGGATAACATTACCGACATTGTGGATCACTCTGATAGGCTGACGGCTGTAGGACAGCAAGGACATTGCAGTATGTGCAGTACTCTACAAATTTCAAGTATGTTATAAGTATCATGTTCTGCGTTATACCTAATTTTATAATTTTTTGTAGGCTGTTGTTATGCATGGACGGGCCTGGGGTGTATAGAATTCCTTCTGAATAAGGATAAACAACCCAATGACTTTGTGGTGCTGTCGAAACAAGAACTGGCAGACTGTGTACCTGTAAAGTTTCCACCAAAAGAGGATGCCAAGCCGGATCTAGTTGGATGCTATACGTCCTCTATCAATCAAGCATTTAGATACGTCAAGAAATATGGAGTCAATACTGAGGAGAATTATGGGTATGTAGGTAGGAGAGGGGCTTGTAGAACTGATTTTGACAATATACAGGTATATGCATATAACTCTGTAATGTATATTTTAGTAGTATTAATTTGAGAATATATATCTAATTTTTTATTTTTATTTTTTTATTTTTTATGATTTCTTGTTTTAGGAAGAAAACCGGCATTGGATCACTGATTTTGAGACCATTGATTGTGAAAATGAAAGTGAAATTCTCAGGGCTTTGGTAAAACAGCCACTGGCTGCGTCGATGACTGCATACAAGTCCCTAAGGGAACTCCGGGAGGTAAACACAGCTAGCTTCATGTTCTCTTGTTAGAGATTTTCTCTTGTTTCCACTTTGGCTTGGTTGTGTGCAGCTTTTCTTCTCTTTTTATAATTTCTTATAAAAAAACAAACAGTATCTATAGTTGGCTTACATTTGCGGAATGGAACATTGTCTTAGATTCCTTGAGAGTACCACTTAATTATTAATGTTATTTTGAGGCTGTTGTCTAGAAATGTGGGTAAGCTACAACCTCTTGTTAGTTTATTTTCTTTCTCTCATACTCTTGCTTTCTTTGCTCCCCCTTCCCCTCTCTCTAGTTGGACTCACTTAGCATGTTTAGAACACCACAGTCCTAAACAAAATTTCATTTTTGGCTATCCCAAGATGAGTTGAACTACCATCTTTTTTCCTTTTCCTTTTTTTAATGATCTTATCTGGAAATCTTTGAACAACAGAGCCTTTAGGAGTAAATATTCCCATTTCAGTCTATAATCAATCAGATGCAAGGCTTTTTTTTTTTTTTTTTTTGGGTAAAATCAGATGCAAGTTGCATCCATTGAGCTCAGTACTAAATGTCATTGAAAGGTGACTGGAGATGGTCTTTACTGCTCATTTTTCTTTGCTTTTGTTGTAGTTAGTGAATAAACTTTACTGCCGATCCTTTTTTCCTCCATTATTTCTGTTTTAGCACAGCTAGCTTCCTGTTCTAGCTCTATTAGCTTTGTTTGCTGAGAATGATGCCATTGCTTTGTTGTTGGCTCATGCCTTTGACTAGCCTATATAATAAACCGCTACTAATTTATTATTTGTGTTATGTATAGGAAATTTATGAAGGCCCCAAACCTGGAGAGAAAGGAGCTGGTCATGCAATCATATTATCAAGTTGGGGCACCGACGTGGACACGGGAAAAAAGTATTACAAGGTCAAAAATTCTTGGGGTATTGGCTGGGGGGTCAATGGTTTTGGGAAGATAAGCCGAAATCTGATCAAGCGCGTATCATTTCCAAAAATTTGAGGTAATCAAATGTTTGTGACTGTATTATTGTTAATTCAATATCTTTCACGTCCTTCTATTTGGTGACTTGTTTATGTTTTCTATAAAAGCTCTGTTCATTTCAGTCATAGATCTTGAAGCCTTACAATCCTTGAATGAGGTAGGACATAAGTTTCAAATCCTTAGTTTATTTTGCACGTACCATAAAATGATTCCTTGGATAAGAAGCCAAGAAATGGCCTATTTAAAAAAGGATAGAAAAAGAAATGGCCAATATAGATATAACCATTCTACCTCTTCTTCCTTGTATACTCTATTACATCAAAGGAATCTCTACTTCTTTGTTAATTCTTGTAATCTATCCTGCAAATATTTTGATAGTTATGTTTTATCTATACATAACTGAGTATAGGTATATAAGATACTTATATGCTACCATAATTTATTATTGCAGATGTTCTGGCAGAGGTGCAAAAAGTAGGACTCTGAATGTGATTAGTGCTGGAAGTGAGTTTGCTGCTTTTTTCTAGACCAATAATCAGTTGCTGGACCTGGACATATATAGTATATCCAAACAGTGGTTTGACCCACCTCTTGTCTACTATTCCATTCTAAATGGAATATAATGCTAACTGGCACATCTTGCTAGTTTTTTTTTGGTGGACCCTCAGTGTTTACACTGTAGACAAATACAGAGTAGATTTCAAATATATTTTACATATCTAGCTAGGAATCAATGTGTTTTTTTTATTGGATAGGCTGCAATTATATGGATGCTGAACTTGTGCTAATAGTTTCTTCAACTGATGGCAAATACAGAGTAGATTTCAACCATGTTCTTTGAAATAGAATCTGGATGTTTGATGATTTGGTATGTTAATGCTTATAATACTGTTGGGGATTTCATTGTGAAATAAAAACAAAGAATTTTCATTGTATAAAGGGCTTAAATCATAAAACCCCACTACTTTTAATTTTTGATCATAAAACCCCCACTACTTTTATTAAAACCTCAACCCGTTTATAAAAACCCCATAGTACGTTTTATGATCAAGAATTAAAAATAGTGGGGGTTTTATGATTTATGCCCTTATATAAATAGACATGTTCAAGGATACATAGTTTACAATAAAACTCGAATAAGAATACAGGACTTTGTACAATAAAAGGTATTATACAACAATAAAATTGGTAATAATTCTTACTAAATAGATCAATTAAAATAATATAATTTTCACTATAAAATCACCATTAATTGTAATTTAATTATATATTTTTAAAAATATTTCCAACAAACACATCTTAGTGAATTGATCATATTTGAATTATGGTTTGAAATTCTCTCCAGTTGATTATTTTTCTTCTTATACGAGAAAGATGGCTTACAATTTGTCAGCTGTTTTCTCCCTTCTCTCATTTGTTCACATCAGCTTGATATGTCCCTGAATTAATATAAACATATGTGTGCTTCTTTTTAGCAAAGAACACTGCAATTATATGTGTAAATTTTAATGAAGGACGGCAAACTGTAAGGGAAATAGGAGGTATGAAAAAAGGGATCTAAGATTGGTTACTTTTTCTCCTTCTGTTTGGTTGAGAAGGAAGGAAAAATGTGTGGCATTCTTATCCGTCATATCTTTTACATATTGAGAAAAACATTACCATAAGGAAAAATTTCTTTCATTATTTTCTTTTATACACACACATATAAAAAGAAAAAGAAAGTCAATCCCCCTTTTTAGTTCCCACCCACTTTTGAAAGGAAAGAATTTGCCGACTTTTGAAAGGAAAGAATTTGCCGGTTATGGAGAAAAGTGATTCATCTTCTCTAACTTCTTCAGTGTGGAGTCCCAATAATACTTAAATCAAGCCAATATATGGCTCACCCTTCATCATGTCCATCCTTTACAACCTTTTTGTGGATGGAGACCCTATAATTTTCATTCATAAGTCAACGTGTGTCTCATGTCTATCATTTACCACCCTTTGTGGGTGGAGATCCTACAATACTCGAAGCGAGTTATTATGAAATTATTCTATGTAGGTGGAGACTATTAAGTGTCTTCTCTTTAGGATACCTAACTATCTCCATGCTAGCTCTTTCCCTTTAAAATACCTAGCTCTCCCTATGCTAGCCTCTTCCTTTAGAATACTTAACTTTCACCATGATAGCCTCTCAACTTAGGATACCCAGCTCTCGCCATGTTAGCCTATTCTTTTTAGGACACCTAGCTCTCGCCATGCTAGCCCCTTCTCTTTAGGTCACCATGATAGCCTCTTCTCTTTAGGATGTCAAGCTCTCACCACGCTGGCTTCTTCTCTTTAGGATGTCTAGCTCTCACCACGCTGGCTTCTTCTCATTATGACTCACATTTCCATTATGCGGGCGGAGGTCCTTACACTCAAATCGAGTCAAGTGTGGCTCATTCCATTTCATGCGGATTAAGGTCCTTAAACTCATTTGGAGTTGCATTCAACTCATTTCCTTTTCTTCATGTGAGCGGATGCCCTTACACTCAAATCGAGTCATGCATGGCTCATCCTATTTTATACGGACGGAGGTCCTTAAACTCACTTGGAGTTGCATTTAACTTACCCACTTTCCTAGCTTCATGCTGGTGGAGGTCCTTACACTCAAGTCGAGTAATTGCAACGACCCAAATTCAATGATCTAAATTGTTAACCGGGTCTTACCCGAACCCGGGAACACAAGGGTAATATGGTCATTTAATATTTTAGCGTTGGTTAATTGACATGACAAAGGGCAATTTGGTCATTTATAATGATTACCAGATAATTAATATGATCTCTTAGGCCAAATGCGAAATTTAATAGAAGTTCTTGGTTAATTGAAAAAATTACCCAAGTTAAGAACCAAAAAAATGTAATACCCCTAATTTTCATGACATTTATTTATTTGTTATAATTGCATTTAGTTCAATTATTTGGATATTTGTTTATATGGATTAATTTAATTAAAAATATTTAATTGATCATGTGCTATGTTATTGGTTGTTGTTAATTGAATTGTTTATTATTTAATGGAAGAACAGCGGGGAAGAGAGAGCACCAGCTGCCATCACCCTCATCGACGCACCCCTACTATGCTGCCATCCCAATTCCCCAACCTCCTGCCTGCCGTGGGCACTATTGAACCCACTTTAATTTTTATTATTGCCTTCCCTACTCAGCTCTGATTACCACTTTGGATCCTATCCCTCATCTTCTGTGATACCTTTGGATTTCCGAATGCGGGTTGGCCAGGCCCACGCCCGAATACCCGGGGTTATAAAAAATAAATCAGTAATAATCGAACACAGAATACAAAAAGATAAATAAGAATAGATAATAAGTTGAAGTGAAACTATAATGATAATCCAATAATTAATCCTCAGAATAAATTTTCATTAAATAATAACTTATTCCAATACAACCAATTCTCCAAATTAATACAACTCGGGAATCTATACTATGTGGACCCCTAGAAAATCCCAACTGAGCAAGTGATAGCAATAACTGTCTACAACAGAACACTGAAACACAAAGGAAACTCCTATGTAGATAATCTGGAAGAGTGAAATAGACTGATCTCTGCTCAGCACGAACAATCTCTACACCTGACGAACACCTAAAAAATAATGGTAGGTCAGGCTTACAAACAAGTTCTACTCTACTACAGTCCAAGTAGAGATCCGATAATCGTATACATCTTAGGCAATCAAACAATGACTAGTAGTCCGTATATATATATATATATATATACACACACACACTATAGGATGCTCACAAGGTTATAGGTTTGCCTCAACCTAAATAGAAGGCAACATGCAAATCGCACATAAAGTGGGCATGAGTACCTGAACCTACCAGGGCACACAGATATCTACTATATCTAGTTATTCATCCTAGGCAATATACACACCCTAATCATGATCCTGAGACTCAAGCTCATATAATGGCATATATCACATATATATATAATTCATCCTGTTTACAGCATAAAATAAATACCTGGTATGTCATCCAACTGATTCAGTTGACCTGACATGAAATATGTAGGATTTTGAATTTTAGTTAATCCATTCCGTTATACATGAATAGGTAGGACTTAACGTTTTTAGTTAATCCGTCCCTATGTTACCACTATTCCATACTGGTGCATATAATACATATGATCCATAAGTGATGCAACAATTATAATATCAACATCAAATACATCCAGAAATAAACATAATAGAAATTAGATATATACATGATCATATTATACAGCCAAGATATGATTAAAATCATATAACCTCTATTTAAATTGCTAGAATAGTTTTAAGTAATTAAATCATCCACACAATCCAATAATTGATTAAATAAGCAAAATAGAACATCAATTAAATCTAGAACCAAGCATAATAAAATCAGACAATAAACTAAATATATTATACTACTAATACACGATTAAGATCATATAACATCCATTTAACTTGCTAAATTAACATTAAACAATTAAATCATCTGTTTACAACATGCAAATTATTTAAATTTCATATTGTTCAAGTCTATGGCGTATTATTATAAATTATGCCTCCTGAGTGTTTAACATGTCCATCGCTTGTGATTTTTTGGACTTTGGATGAACTTGCCTTAGGCTGTTCTAAATCCAAGGCTGCATTTTCATGAAAAGCTTGAGATCGACTTATATGTGTGGCTTTTGAGCCCATTCAAGCTTTCTAGCCTCATTGATTATAAAATGAACCAAGCTAAAGCCTCATTTGAAGCTCACTTGTTAAACATGCTGAGCCTGCACAAGGCCATGCATGGCTTGGTAGACTCGTGAAAGAAGCTTATTCAGCTCATATGTAATTTTGTTTTAGTTATTGTCTAAATAGTAGCTTCGAAAACTATTTAATTGCGCATGTTTGCGCTGTGTTTAATGTAAAAGCATTTTTAAGTATTACCGAGTAAGGGAAAGCTTACCAATTCTTACACCTTGGAGTACGTCATGCTGATTGCTGTCCATTTCTGATTTATGTTTCTTGATTTGAAAATTTCTGATATCAGACAAACAGAAATTTGACGAATGACTAAAGTTTAAGGGCATAGCATGTGGCCTGGCTGAGCTGCCTTAGCTTGCAAGCTTGTTGAGTTACTCCCAACCCAAGCTCGAACAGAAGTTTGAAGGCAAGTACGATATTGGGCCATACTTCTATAATGTGAGCTCTAACTGCCTGATACTTGGCTTGCATGGTTCATTTGCAGCCCTTAAAATTACATCCTTTTATTAATCTGCACTCGTAATGGTATTTGATTAGTTTATGCATATGCATCAATTTAGCTGACCCTCTTAATCTTTGACATGCCAAAAGACCCCTTTAAGTCGTATATTTTGAATTGTTTCAAGTGTACATTGATTTAATCGAAGGCATATGCAAATTGAAAGGATATATACACTAATTTAGTTATTAAAGGGCTAGCCTAGTGCATGAGGCTCCTACCATTGTGGAGTCTGGGAAGGATCAAATGTATACAGCCTTGCCCTCCACATGTGGAGAGGCTGTTTTCCGTTTGAAACCTGTGATCTCCAGGTCAAGATGGAGCAACCTTACTATTGCACCAAGGTCCATTCTCACTAAATTAGCTATTATGTTTAAAAATTCAACCATCTTGATGTTGACTAGTTGTATTGGGTATTTAATTTTTTTGAACCTTTTTAGTATATATTTTAATCACGCATTATGTTTTAACGCTTAGGCTTGCACCTATGTTACGTCTTTACCTTACATTCCAAAGATCTTGGCACTTTAGTGGTCCTTGAGCATGCCGTCTACACATTACTTCTTACTGTTGGGATGTATCAGCCTATGTTTATTAGAAACTCAATGGAACTCTGTATATATTAATAGAGGGTAGTTTACTGTAACCTTAATATACTCACCGCAATTATATTCCCTTTAGTGGGTATTCCACTATAATTAATTTCTTGCGTGCATGAGTTGTCTCATGTGTTGATGAAATGTGTTTGTGGAAACAGTTTTGACCTTATGATACTACCATTTTTTATTTAATTAATTTTGTCAATTGATCCATTGTACAACAATGCTTTCTGTGTGCAGCTTTCACTTGGATCATGCTGCTTCCCTTCCATATTTCTTGAAGAAGGTTTGTTTGAATTCCTAATTAGATTTTATTCAGGTCTTTTGCAGATAAGCTGAAATGCTTGGATTTCTTTTCCAGATCACATTCAAGGGGCGAGTTTTTATGACTCATGCCACAAAGGCTATCTACAAGTTACTTTTGTAGGATTATGTAAAAGTGAGCAAAGTTTCAGTTGTAGATATGTTGTATGATGAACAAGATATCCTTCGCTCCATGGATAAAATTGAGGTGTGTTTATAACATATTAGGCTTTTACCAGCGCTCTTTAGAAGAACGCTGGTATAGGTGAAAATCATACTAGCGCTTTACCAAAAAGCGCTGGCATAGGGGTAATCGTACCAACGCTCTTTTTAGGAGCGCTGGTATAGGGGTAATCGTACCAGCGCTTTTCTCTAAAGCGCTAGTATAGAATAGTAGTTATACCAGCGCTTTAAAAAAAAGCGCTCGTAATGGCCCTTCCATTCCCTACCTTTTTTCCCCTTCCCTCCAATTTTTTATCTTTTCCCTCCACTTTTTTCCCTTACCACCACTTTTTCCCTCCGCTGTAAAATATTTGGGGCCTTTTACTACGTCGTTTTTTTTGGGGCCATTAACACTATATTCACTTTCCCATTTCATTTTGCAAGCCCTAACGCTCTCTCTCCTTCCATCACAGCTCTCGCTCGATCTTGTAATCCGTTTTGTTTTCCATCGCAGCTCTCTCTCCTTCCATCACCGGTCATCACAACTCTCTCCCCTTCCATTAGCCAGCGTTCCAAAACTCGAATTTTAATCAGAAACCAACGCTCTAAAACTGGTGGCTTGGTTTAGAGAGACAAAGTCATTGCTATTGCACACAGAGAGAGAGAGAGTCATCGTTGGGCCGGGGTTCCCAAAACCTCGTCTACACTAACAGATCGGAGCAGAATTTTTTTAGGTTAGTAACTGTTCGCCTTCTGATTTTGATTACTTGAGTAGATCACTATACCTAAGATTGTTGTTATTTTGGTGATAATATCGAGTAAATTTAGGGTTTTATGTGGATTTGTTGTTTGAAGTGTTTTAGTTTTCAGATTGCATTTGTGAATTTTACGCTAGATTTAAGGGTTACATGTGTTTAGTGTACTTTCAATGGCGTAATTATCTCTCTATACACACACAAATCAGGTTGTTTCCTTTTACTTTTCCCCTTATCTGTTACGAATTTCGTTTGAATCTGTTTGGCAAAAATTTAATCTCTTTGCTTGAAATCTGTTGAACTTGTAAGGGGATATTAAATTTAATCTATTTCCATATATTATGTTGTGTTTGGAGCATAAATTCTTTTGGCTGTTGAAATTATTGTTTTAGTTCAAACTTTTAATTATTCTTATTTTTATTTTTGCGGTTTTAATTCATAATTGCTGTTTTACAGGAGTGGTTCAGTTTTTTGAATATCTTGCAACCGAGCATCTTCCTTGCTTTGCTTGTTCTCTGTCTTTAATCTCTCGGCTTTCTTCAAGCAGACTCTTCCTTCGCATCTTCAAGAGCACAAGTTAGGTATGAAAGTCATTTTTCTGCATCTTGCCTTGGAAACTTTTGGTCATGAAGGTCCCTGCAACATCAGTAAATGGAATTTTGGTGTCCTACGACAACTGTTGAGCATCAAATGTGTTCCCAAACTCCAGAATGTCAGGCCTTAGAGTTGTCTAAATTGTTGTCTGATAAAATAGTGTTTGACCATATATAATATGCAAAACATTTTTTTATAAAAAACTATTTTAAAAAACTATCTTCTTTTTTCTTTTGTGTTACAAACAAATCTAAAAGAAAATGTCACATTAAAATAACTTTTTTTGTAGAGCAATTTCAAACAAATAAATAGTCATTTGTATGCTGGTTTAAAAAAAAAAATTTGTATGTGAATTTCCTGTATCAACTTTTTTGTTTGCTGGTTAAAAAAAAAAATCAGACCAACAGTTGGCTAACCATCCTTCTGTTCATGAGTATTTGCTCCACTCATGAATCATGGCAAGGTTGTTGTACGGCTACAATTTGCACCCTGACCTAGACTTGTGCTAATGAAAACTTAGAAACATAAATTAATCTTTCAACATGATCATTGCCAATGTTAGAAGTAATATGGTAACAAAATCTTATGTCTCTTTCAAATTTACCTCTTGAGTTACATTTTATATACTTGACTTCTGTTTTGTAGAAGTCTGTTTCAGATTGGTTTGCAATGGAGGCATTGTTATGCTTTCATGACGCCTAAAATACATCGCTAATGTCTTGTAATGGCTTTTTGTTATGGCAGGCGAGTATAATCGAGCGAGGGGAGTTGAAATAGGAAATAAGGACGTAAAGCTTGAATACCTGGAAAAAGCATTCACAACATCCAAGGATAGTTCAGATTTACAAAGTCAAACCACCAAGTAATAGGTGTTGATTAACATAAACCCTCCTCCCTTTTATGTAGGACAGAAGGAACATGGTTGATGAATTTTGAGAGCTTCTTTAGTCTAAGAACTTTTAGAGATATTCACATTTTGCCATTGAGTTTGAGTTTTTAACATTCGAGGCTTATATTTATTTGCTGGAATCCTTTATGTTGAAAATTTTATATTGCCTCCTTGCCTAATATTTATCAAGTCTTTTGATCAAGTAAATGCCCAGTTCCTTGACTGCTTGGGACGATGTAAGTGACTAGCTTAGTAGATCATAAAGTCAAGATTGGGCACTGGACCATTTCCTCTATGAAGGAGAGCTTCTAAAGATGAAACTAGATAACTATTCTCGTAAACAAATGAATCTGTGTTGGGTCTTCATGATTTTCCTTGTTATGTATTGGGTGTCTCAATTTAAGTTTTTGTTCTTGATGCTCTTGCTCTATTTTTATTTTATTTTAATATGATTTGTATAACATATATGCAATTTCAGGGGCTGGATTTCAATTCAAAAGCAAGTATTTGTTTGGGAAATTAAATATTCAGATCAAGCTTGTAGAGGGTGACTCTGCAGGGACTGTCACTGCTTTCTATGTGAGTTTCAATTTTCAACTATTATTTTTCATGAATAATATTATATTTATACACACAAACATATACACGAACTGGGTTTAATGCAATTATAGTTTTGGTACATTATATCATTCAATGCATTTATTTTAAGTGTTCAGTTGCAGAAAATAGAAAACTTGACATCGTTTAAATTCAAGAACTGGGGTAGTCTTAGCTGGCTGTTCCTTTCAGCTTGTGAATTGGATTAAATTCCATTTATTTTTCACATTTAAAGCCTACCCACCTAGTATTTTGTCCGTGAACTATTCATTTCCTCCACAAAAAAAAAAAGATGATGACCAGTTTTGCTTTACTCTTTTATTTCATTAGGTCAAATCTATTTCTTGTAAAATTAGAAGATTATCACTCTAGAATTTGCTTTATGTTGATTGGTAATTGACTGTGACATTGATGATGATGATGACCAGTTTTGCTTTACTCTTTTTTGAGCTGTTGATGTTGATATTTTGTTTTTGGTTTTGATGTGTGCAGATGTCATCAGACAGCTCAAATCACAACGAGTTCGATTTTGGCTCCCTATTTTGTTTGTGGCTTCAGTATTTTCTTTCAAGAATATTGCAATATCTCAATTAGTTGATAGAGCAATTTATAGTAGTGATAAAATAATTATGATGATTTCAGCAACTTTGTATCTTTGCTACGATTGTCTGTGTAAATCCACGTATCTTATATTTTTTAATTTGCGGTTGCAGGGAAGAGACTCATCTTTTGATTTGCTTGATGATAAATATTTGCATACTTGGCCCCTATCCTTTCTCCCCCTTTTTTGTTGTTTAAATACTTCTAAACCTAGCTCATAGTTAGGGTCTGAGGTTGTTTTTCAGCAATAGCAGGACTTTATCCCTTCTCCTACATCATTGTTCCTAAATCATGTCCTTTATATAAATAACTGCAGTTTGCTGGTCTCTTGAATCCTATTCATTTTTATTTTCTTCGTATTGTTTGAACTATTTCCTTATATTGTTTTAGGTTTCATGCAGTGATGGGATGAATTAATGGTTATATATCACTTTGTGCTGGAGACCCTTGCCCTCCAATTTTTAGGTCACCTGTTGCAGGACTGGAAGATATTATGGATAATCAAGTCATGTAAGTTTCCAATAAATCAGAGATAATCTTTAAGTGGGTTAATTAAAATAAAATGCATCTTGGACTTCTTTTCCTTTTACTTTTCTATTTTTATTTTTTATCTCCTGTTACTCCTCTATTGTTCAGTTGTGCTATATACAGACTTCCAGATGCTCATAAACATATAGCTCGACCACCAGTCGGAGTTATATTCCCAAATAAGGTATTTAGGTGACTATTTTTTACATTTTGTCGGACCATCTTCAGTATTTTGTTTTTGTCTCATCTTATCTCCTCTGTTGTTCCTACTTCCTACAACCTTGTCATTGATGTATACATATTTAAAAAATTTCAACTCGTCTTACTACTGGTAAATCTGAATTCTGCATTTTATTCATGCTCATTTTTTGAACATTAACCATCTGAAGTTCCTTTTGAACATGTTCTCTTTATATGGAGGTGTTGGGACCTACTTCTTGATATTTGTTGGTTGTGCTGCGGTGGTGGTGAATTTGGAGAAGGACAAGGTGGTGACACTTCCGGGAATAACAATTGTTTGGGGACTGGCTGTGATGGTCTTGTTTCGAGAATGTTATTACATGGAGTCTCATTTGACGCAAATTCTCATGATTTGAGACATTATAACTTTTTTTTCTTTTTTTTTTTTTTTTTTTTTTTTTTTTAACTTTGATGTGGATTGGGTTTATCTTGTTAGTAAATTTTGTTTATGAATGGACTTGATGTTTGATTACAGGTTTAACTTGTGCTATATTGGATGACATTTAGTAGCCGTAATCTATTTTAACAAAAACAATAAAGGGAATATATATATATATATATATATATATATATATAATGACCTTTTACCAGCACTTCTTAAAGAAGCACTGGTATAGGGGGGGAGGAAAAAAAAATTAAAAAAAACTTAAAATACTCTTTACCAGAAAGCGTTGGTAAAATCCTTTTACCAGCGTTTTTCCAGAAAGCGCTGGCATAGAGTATCTACCAGCGCTTTTTGAAAAAGCGCTGGTAAAAGGACTTTACCAGAGCTTCTGGAAAAGTGCTGGTAAAGGCCTACCGACATTACATTTACCAGCGCTTTTGAAAAAACTCCGGTAAAGCGCTAGTAATTGAATTACCAGCGCTTTTTAGGACTTTTACCAGCGCTTTTGAGCGCGGGTAAAAGCCAGAACTATTGTAGTGTTTATTTATTGTTATTTTTTATTCTCCATCTTGTCAGAGTATTTCTCCCAAGTAAAATTTGGTTTCGGTTCAGGATTGGCTTGCAATTATTCTGAATTTAAACTTAGAAGTGGATCACTTATCAAGAACTTTCCATATGACATTTGTTTTTGTTTTTGCGCACCTGATTTTTTTTTGTAAGTTTGTTTTCGCACACTGATGGTAGAACATCAGTCCGTTGTTAGCATATCTCTTATCATTCAAATCTCTCTGAAGTTGTTCTTCCTTTAAACAAAAGTTTCATTTTTTCATTGATTTCATGAATATGGATGTGGTGATTGTTTGTTATCTATCATTGTGTTACATTGCAATATTTGTATGTTAGCCATAGTTGTGTTACATTGCAATTTTATTACATCTAAACTTTCTATCTAATATTCTGGAAAGTGTTTTTATAAAAATAGTGTACGATCTAATTTAGATTAGAGTAATATGCTCCTAAGGGATCCTCTCATGAGAAGAGCCATGAGCTCTCCCTATTTAACTATTGGATTGGAACAGTTTTTTGAGATATGTGAAAAGTCAAATGAATTATTTAACGCATCTTTTAATCCAATAGTTAAATAGGGAGAGCTCATGGCTCTTCTCATGAGAGGGTCCTCTTAGGAGCATTACTCTTCAGGTTATATGCCAGTTGTTTTTTTTTTTTTTTTTTTTTTAATTTTTTTTTTATGTGTTACTAAAATAGTTATACATCATTTTTAACAATACAATTGTTTTATACATAACATTTTTTAGTGAAAAAATGTGCTGGTTGCAAAGCTATATTAAAGTAAATAAGAAATTTGTTATACATTTGGCTTTTCTTGATTTAAGTTCCATGTTAGAGGGTTCTATTGGTATTGCTTGTGTAGAATAATAAAAGTTAAATAATGATTGGACTTGATGGATGTATAATTTAAATATCCATGATTAAGGGAAGAATGCTAAATTAACGCACTACTTCATAAGATTGAGATAGGCTCTACAGATTACGATAAGGATTAAAGATTATGATAAGGATTAAAGATTACAATAATGATTAAGTTTACAGATTACGATAAGGTAACTCTACATGACATCTTGACCTAAGCCCTATAAAGAAGGCGGGCTAATCAACGTTTTGAGGTACGCAAAAAACCCTAACTCAAGTTATTGATTTCTCTTAAGAGATACTTATTCGTCGGAGCCTACTCTACCGGTAACACACTGGTGCTTGTAGGATCACATTTTCTTCTCTCTGTTCAGGAAGTTAGATTAGATCTGGGTTGCGCAGAATCCATCATTAACAGTTGGCGCCATCTGTGGGAACGATTTTAGTTCTCTAAATAAAGCATGGTTCGATTGCGATCTGGTCTGGCTGCCGGTGAGGATGAAGCGTTGTAAACTTTTGATCAAGGGGACTCGACGAGGCAACCCCCCGTCGTCCCAAACGATCAGGAATGCGTCGCAACATTGGAACTACATGTTTAAACCTTACATGAAGGAATGAACCAGTTAGTCCAGCAAAATGCATTGATTCTGTAACGCTTAGCCGCCCCAATGAGGAGAGAAATAGTGAAGTACTAAATAATGACTCTCGTAGGGTTAACAACGACGTTGAGTTTAGTCAAATAAGGGGACAACAGAGGAGCCACCACCATCGGTCTCCTGAGCGGAATACCACCAGGCTCCGTGGAGATACTTCTAGTTATGTTGGTGACAAGACAGAGGACTTCACTCATTTCGATTAAGAGATGCAGGATCTGAAAACTAGAGTTGAAGACGTCATGCAAGCGATGAAAGGGAAGGGCCAGGTCGTAGTGAACGATATGGTACAGAAGACCAACCTAGCTTTTAGCCCAGCTATTATGAGTTGTCCTCTACCTAGAAAATTTAAGATGTTAACTCTTGAGAGCTTCGATGGGACACGAGATCCTCTCGACCATTTAGAGACCTACAAAGCTCTTATGTATTTGCAAGCCGTATCGGACGAGATTATGTGCAGGGCTTTCCCTACCACACTAAAGGGTTGGGCTCGTCTCTGGTTCAATAAACTGAAACCAAGCTCAATTGAAAACTTAGAAGAGTTGAGCAAACAATTCATAGGACACTTCATCGCTGGGTAGAAGCATAAGAGACCAGCAACACAGTTATTGAATGTGAGGCAGTAGAAGGGAAAGCCTCTTCATGATTACATAAGTCACTTTAACACTGAAATGTTGCAGGTAGAAGAGGTGGACGACAAGGTTGCCCTCACAGCCTTTATGGGAGGACTACAGACCTCTAAGTTCCTGTTTTTCTTGTCAAAGGAAGCCCCTACGAGCATAACAGAGTTGATGGTTAGAGCACAAAAGCACATAAACGCTGAGGATGCTATGAATGCACGAAAAAACAAGGATAGTGAAGATAAGAGATCGGATAAAAAGAGGCTAGCACCTAGCACTAGGGAGGAAAGGGAATCGAAGTACAAGAAATTCTCAAACACCCAAGCTGACAGATCGTCTCGCCGTCTAGTGAGCCTAGGCAAGTATAATAACTACACCCCTCTAAATACATCAGTAGAGCAGGTCTTTCTGCAGATTCAAGATGACGCATCATTGAAATGGCCGCCAAAGCTAAAGTTGATCCAGCAAAGAGGTCTCGAGATAAATACTGTAGGTTCCACCGGGACCATGGACATAACACAGAAGATTGTTTCGACCTTAAAAATCAGAACGAGAACCTTGTTCGTAAGGGTCATTTACGCAAATTCACGACTGAAAATGGAAAAGGAGGCTCCAACCCAACCCGAGAAGGTCGAGATGATCGCCTTCCTCAACACCAACCAATGGGTGAGATCAAAGTTATATTAGGTGGCTTCGCTGGTGGTGGAGAGACTAGTTCGACTCGGAGGGCATATGCCAGGAGAATTTGGAATTTTTCAGAGGTGAATGAAGTTGGAGTGACAAGTCCTCCAATGAAATTACCGCGAGTTGAAGAGCCGGTTATAACCTTTTCTGAAGAAGATGATAAGGGAATTCACCAGCTCCATGATGACCCTCTGGTAGTTTCCATGGTCGTCGCTAATTTCACTGTGCGACGAATACTGATAGACAATGGTAGCTTGGCTGACACTATTTCTCGGGGTGTACGACAAATTAAAAATCGGCCGAGAGAAGCTCCGACCCATGAAGTCATCACTGGTGGGATTTTCAGGTGACAAAGTATATCCACAGGGGGCAGTTACCCTTCCAGACACTGCAAGAGCCAATGCAAAGCAGGTCACTGTAATGGTGGACTTTCTAGTGGTGGACTGCCCATCATCATACAATATTATCCTGGGGAGGACAGCATTGAATGCCATGAAAGCAATCACTTCCACTTACCACCTCCTGATGCGTTTCCTAATCTAATATGGTATGGGAGAGCTAAGAGGGGACCAAACAATGGCTCGAGAATGTTATGTCGCCTCTCTCATAAAAACAAAATCTCAAGAGGCACTCATGATTGAAGAGTTAGAAGGGAGAGATAGGCAAGATTTTCATAGAGCGGAACCTACAGAGGAGCTAGAATAGGTCATCTTTGGTGATGGTGAGCCAGAGAAGAAAGTGAGTATAGGGTCTTTACTCCCCCCAGGTATCAAAAATGAACTTACTCAATTCCTTAAGAAGAATCGAGACGTATTTGCATGGGCGCATAAAGACATGCCGGGTATAGACCCAACTATCATGGAGCACCGCCTATAATAAATCCCAACTTCAAACTTGTCAGACAAAAGAGGAGGACTTTCGCTCTAGAGAGGAATCAGGCTATATCAGAAGAAGTGGAAAAGCTCTTAAAAGCCAACTTTATTTAAGAGGTGTACTACCCCGACTGGCTGGCAAATGTGGTCTTAGTGAAGAAGGTAAATGGAAAGTGGAGGTTATGTGTGGATTTCACCGACCTTAACAAAGCTTGCCCGAAGGACAGCTTTCCTCTCCCAAGAATCAATATGCTCATTGAGGGAACAGTTGGACATGAACTACTAAGTTTTATGGATGCATATTCTGGATACAACCAGATATCTATGTACACCTTAGATAGAGAAAAAAATCATTGATAGAGGTTTGTACTGTTACAAAGTAATGTCTTTTGGGCTCAAGAACGCTGGTGCAACATACCAGAGGCTAGTGAATGCAATGTTTAAGCACCAAATTGGTAAAAACATGGAAGTATATGTTGATGACATGTTGGTGAAAACCTTAAAAGCTGAAGACCATTTAACCGACTTGCAGGAGACCTTCGAGGTACTTAGGAGGCATAAGATGAAACTCAACCCCAGCAAGTGTGCCTTTGGGGTTTCCTTAGGAAAGTTCTTAGGATATATGGTATGCAGAAGAGAAATTGAGGCCAATCCAGAGAAGATCTGTCCAGTCATTGACATGAGATCGCCAAGATCAACTAAGGATCTACAACGACTAACAGGGAAGATTGCTGCCTTGAGTAGGTTAATCTTTCGGTTAACTGACAGGTGCCTACCTTTCTTTTGTGTGCTAAGGAAGGCTTTTGAATGGACCCTAGAGTGTGAACAGGCATTCAAAGAACTAAAACAATACCTTAGTTCTCCCCCACTACTGTCTCGAACCATACCGGGAGAGGAACTATACATATACCTTGCGATCTACACGACAGCTGTCAGTTCAGCTCTGATACGAGAAGAAGAAGGGGTCCAAAGGCCAGTGTACTTTGTGAGCAGAACACTCAGGGGTGCGGAGGAAAGATATCCAATGATGGAACAGCTGGCTTTTGCTTTAATTGTGTCCGCCAGGAAACTGAGACCATACTTTCAAGCATATACGATAATGGTGCTAACAGATCAACCCCTCCGACAGGTCCTACACAAGCCAGAAAGCTCTGGTCGACTGATGAAGTAGTCAGTAGAGTTAGAAGAGTTCGGCATTCAGTACAAGCCAAGAACAGCAGTAAAGGCCCAGGTGTTGGCTGATTTTTTAGCTGAGTTTATGTGATACCCCCTAATTTTGGAACACGGGTTGATCAAGTCCGCGCACAAAACCAGAGGATATCAAAACAATTAAAGTATTTCAAATAAGCACAGAGTACAAAAAGAAAATAAAAAGAATAAATAACTCGCTGAAGGAAAATCTATTAAATAATAAATCCATTAATAATTCTCCAATGGTTACAGCTCGGGAATCCTGTAATTCAAGGACCCCTTAACCAAAATCCACTATCCAGAAATTCATCAATACATACTGAAGTAATAATATCCTACTTTGAAATAAAATAGAAAGAATGGCTAAGTCCTCCAGTTGCGGATCCTCAACCTTGAGACTTGGAACTTCTAATAACCTGAAAAATAAATCGTGGGTTAAACCCTACGAGCAAGTTCACTCTACCAGGCCTCTGAAAACCAATAAGCAGATCATCTCTGATCAAAACCAAACCTAATAAAGTTTTAACTTTAATAAAGCACGATATATATAGCTACATATAATTATATATACTATACTAATCACATCCATTAATAGGTTTATTAAATTTTCATACCTATTAAATAATTATTAGAATAATAATCATTCCTAAACCAATCCACCATTTATTTTTAAAAGAAAACTCCTTGAAGCTTAACTCCATCCTAGTCAATTGTTTAATCATTTAAATAATAAATTATAATAAAAGGAATATTATATTTAATCCCAAAATCCAATAATGATTTTAATTATTTAAATCACATATGCAAAATCTAAGCTTTGACAAATCATCCATGTCTCCACCAGTATTATTTTATTAATATGCATAAGATAATACACTAACCTGTAAGTACTAGATTATTCTAATTTAAGAATATCTAATCCTAATCCAACCTATACAGACAATAACTATAGATGATATTTTAATCATCTAACACACAACAATAGAATTACACTTTGGCAAATCAACCATGCCATTATAAATATATTTATTTATATATTGACAACTCAACCATGCCTCCTTATGTATATATATTTATACTTGTAATTAACAACTCATCCATGTTTCCAATGTATGTGTTTTATTCATACAAATATTTAGGCTATATATTTAAGCCTCTGGCAGCTCATCCATGCCTACAATTCAACCATATACCAACTTTTAACTTAATGATGAACTAAATCACACATAGACTAATGTCATGCATTTCATAATCATAACATTACTTTAATAACCAGCCTATCCAAATATACCAAATAAGAATAATTTATATTAATCATCTTAAATGATATATATATAGACACACACACATATATTATATAATATGTAAATATGTATAATACCATCCATAATAATATTTGATTCTTTAAATCATATATATATATACACACATACATCCATCCTTATCCTAAACAATTAAACCATATATACATATATATAAATAATATTATATATATATATACTTCCTTCCATAACAATATATTAATTTAATTATATTTACTTAATTTAAATGTTACTAAATCTCGTCAGAAATAGTTTCCCATAAATACTCCATCTCGGTAAATAATTTTTCGACACTGTTCCACTAAAACATAAATATCTCCTAGTATGATGGGAATTCGATAACGAAATCAGTACCATTGGAAAGAGGACAAAAAATCGTTAAATTTGAGCTCAAGAATGACCTAATTTGGATTTAAGATGACTAAGTTATGACCGTTTCAATTTCAAGTAACAAAACAAGCAACACAATACGTTGAGCTCAATTGCTACTGTGAGCGCGACCACACCGAATGATAATTCAGTTGACTAGACCAAGTCAACGGTCCCAAAGCGCAGACGCACAGAACTCCATGCGCCGCGATGCACCAGATCTCTTTTCTGTTGACAAGACTACACCAAGGGCATAGATCAGTGGTGCATTGAATCCCATGGACGTCCACCACATCGAATCAATCCAATTATATTAAAGTAATCCTATGGTCTACATCAGCGCACTCACCCTTGTACCATAAGCCGCGCCTCACTGGATTACAGCCCCCTCTTTCATGCGCCGTAACCCAGATTACATAAACAGTATATATATTTATTTATTTATACACAATTTTCCAAATAAATAATAGGAAAGGAAATCTAATAAATTCCAGAAAAATATATAAAAATACCAGAAAATTTCAGAAAAATACCAAAAATTCCAGAAACCATCTTTACCCTCTTGAATCATAGATCAACCTATAAATTGATTTTAAAATATATATATACAACATCTATATATACAATTAAAATCTAATAATTCAAAACTAAAAATAAATCATAATTCATACTTTTAAATAATCTGATCTAAACATAATTTAATCAAATAAATTTAAGTTAATGTTTTTTTTTTTTTTTTAATCCATTCTAACCATGATTTAAATTAATAATTTAATTAAAATCTTGATACTCAAGGTGAAATCCTTATGGGTTCTAAGAGGAAAATTAGAGAAGAACTTGCCTGAAGATTTCGAAACGAAACCGACGCTTCAAGCTTTAATTATCTCTTCCAATTCCGACGTCCTCCTTTTCAGATCCGACCTCCTCCTTGTCAGCCCTTCTTCTTACTCTCTCTCTGTCTGTTTTATTTTTCTAACGTGTAAAACCTTTAACCCTAAAGTTTTATGTGTATTTTTATACACCTTAAATTCCAAATCCTATTCCAACTAGTATTATGAATTAAAATAATAACCTTTAAATAATTTATATCTATAAACATATATTATATATAAATATATATTCCTTCCATAATTAACTCATTAGTTAATTAAATCATATATACTTATAAATATCAATAAATATATATCTATATATATATCTTTCCATAACAATTATTAATTAATTATATTTATATATAGATATATATATATATATATATATATATCTATATATAAATATAATTGATACAAAAGTGATCATTTAAATAATTAAATAACCACGGACCTTCATTAATTAACCCAATAAGATTTCATACAAGCCCAAGACCACATCTTTTGGTCCAACTTTCCTTAAGCCCAATCCAATTAATTTAAATAAATAAGATAATTAATTAAATACAGAAATTAAAATAACTAATTACATGAAGCACATAAACAAACAAGAATTTACAACTAAGTCATATAATACCAATAAAATCAACACACCAATAATTCAATCAATAATCAACCACACAAACAATCAATCATCATACATAATCACGAAATATAACTTAATTAAAATAAGATAATTAATCTAGCACTCAATAAAATAAAATAAATCATTGAAAAATAAAATAAAATAATTAATCCTAATTAATAAATCTTTTAAAATTATCGGGGTATTACAGTTTACCCCTCCAGAAGAGGAAAAACAACCCCAATTTTTGGCAGAACCAGGTTCAAGCGAGCAGATAGGCCCAGAAGTAGTCTAG